GCATTGTTAAAATGAAAGGTTGTGTTGTTTCATTTAAAATTCAATAAAGTGTTTATTATTTGTGGTTAAACAATACATGTTTTCATGCAATTTCAATTCAATTTGATTTTACTGCATTAAGTTTACTAGAAATTTAATGTCCAGAGAACGGGGCAAATGGCATGTCATGCAAGAGCTACTGTTTGTTTATTAAACCTCAATTTGCTTCAAATTTATCAAAAACAAAATTCATCAGTTAATTATTCATAACGCTTATTTCAAATGATAAACTCTGAAAATAAGAATTTTCCTACAGAATGTCCCACAAAACAATGGGCATACAGCAACCACTGATTTCTCGGGCAAAATTAATTGAATTTTTCAAACGTGCTTCATGCATTTCTTGTAACAGTGGCGAACGGGGGATGCGTGATCCTGTTTTTCAGATTTCTTCGCCTATTTATTCTATAAGGAAAATAATCTGGATGATTTTTTGATTCTATAAAAAAATGCTGCCTATGATTTTCTCTTAAAATTGTTAGACTAGAGTAACAGGAGAATATTCAATTTGTTGATCAGAAAAAAAATACTAAAAATTGACTGCCTATACAGGCTGTTACAAATTCGCTTCTCACTACAGGGATCTCTGAAACGGTAAGAGGTACGAAGTAGCTTAAATGGGGGCAAAGTTGCGTAATCAAGGGACCAACATTATGCCTCTAAAAAATCAAGGCTAACATGATTAGCTTTCGAAATATTTGAAAGAAACCGAAATTTTGGAAATCCGTTTTTTTTTTCATTTCAGCCTTGTTTGGGGTGATATTGAAAAAAGAACATTTTCTCATGGCCACTTTTTGACCTCTATCGAATGGCTAATAAATTTTTACCTATATGTAATGTTGCGCTTCTCCAGGACCATCGTCAACTTCATTTTTTAAATACGACCCTGGAAGTTTTATTACATTTTTTGCAAGCCTTCATGACCCCCAATACTGTACTGCCTCAGCCCGAACCAGATTCAGACGTTTTGTCTCAAAAAATTCATCTTCAGTGGAGGTATCCGTTCCAAATTCACCTAAATTTTTTATTTAGATTTCTTTGTTTATTGAATTACCGTACACTGTAAGTGTCGTTAGACCCTGTGAAATCCATCTAGTTATTTAAACTATTACCACCACGCATTAAAATAAAACATTATGAGAGTTTTATTTCCGTGTACATAGTTATTTCAAGGCTTTGCGAGTGCTCAAAATTCAAATAAATTCCGATCTATTTTTTTCAGGATTTTCACAGGGACAGTGGTCTTCCACAGTTCATTTTCAACCTTTGCCAAAAAGAAAATATTTTTGAACATTTACTGAAATTTTTTAAAGAATAATATTCAGTTGGCGTTTTGGTTGTTCATATGCATTTTTAAGAATTAATTTGTCATAATAAAATTAAAATTGTAATAATGTTTTAATTTTGACGCAATAACTTATTGAGTTTGTATGTAAGTGATGGTAATAGTTAATAATAATAAATGTTTTATTGTAACGCGTGGTGGAAATAGTTTAAATAACTAGATGGATTTCACAGGGTCTAACGACACTTACGGTGTACGATAACTCAATTAACAAAGAAATCTAAATAAAAAAATTAGATAAATTTGGAACGAATACACTGAAGATGATTTTTTCGACACAAAACGTCTGAATCTGGTTCGGGGTGAGGCAGTGCAGTATTGGGGGGTCATGAAGGCTTGCAAAAAATGTAATAAAATTTCTAGGGTCGTATTTAAAAAAATGAAGTTGATGATGGTTCTGGAGAGACGAAACGTTACATATAAAAATTTATTGTGCCATTCGATAGAGAGTGTTCCTCTTTTTTCAATATCACCTCAAACGAGCCTGAAATGAAACAAAAACGGAATTATTTAAGAAGGTGAAGCAGTCGTGCAAGTCTGAAAGGATTAGAAATATACAGGGTGTAAAAAGTTTGACTACCATTACTTCATCATGAAATAGAGTAACCATAAATGAACAAAAAAGTTGCATGTTACAGGGGCGTAAGATTAACAGTTTTCAAAATACAGCGAGTATTAATATTGGGGAGTTTCATCACGTGACAACAGCGCTTAACCAAACGCTACACAGCTGATACATACCACGTGTGCACACGGCAGACTTGTCCTACGGAAAAAATGTAAACAACTATTATTGTGAAACATTTAGTGAATTTCAAGACAATTATTTTCCAGTTTTTAAATAAATACAATAAAATGTATCGATTTTGTAGTACGAAGATAGTGTTGTACTTAAATTTTAGCTCGAATTTTAGTAATTATGAATCTCTTAAAACAGGAACTTAACTTTTAATCAAATTATGAATTTGAAATATATGTAATTAAAGTACACAAAGATTCACGTCGTCCAAATAATCAAACATATTAAAAATTATTTAGGGACTTCCCAAAAAGCAAAATTCTGTAATTTTTAAACGCACAAGTACAAAAAAAACTACAACATATGCTCAAGATGTCCACCACCATTTTTTATGCACGCACGACATCCAATATTCGCGCACTCGCTGGAAAACACCTCAAAAAAAGGAAATAGTGGTACGCAAAAAACACTCCGATACGATCGAATTCCAGATACCAACTGAATTGTGTATTGGTGAACAGCTTAGTACCTCTTGTTAATTGCCGCGCCATTGTCACATTGCTCGATATGAATTTTATCGAATTTTAAATTTATTACAACGCTAATCATTTTTTAGAATTAAGCATAAAGAAGTACAAAAAAGTGATAAACATTGTATTTTATGGTATTCTATGCATGCAGTTATGTCAATATTCCTTAATTAATTACTTTACTTACTTTTGTACATCAAGTTGGAGATTTTGATAATTTTTTTCTCGGAAATGGTTGAGTTTAGGACCAATGTTATATAAGGTTTTTTTGTTTATTCTAATGTATTCTATCATCTGTTAAAATTAAGCAGACAAACTTCTAACACCCTGTATTATCTCTTGAGATCCTCACGGTATCTGGCTACTCTCAATGAATTCATACATAGCAAAAAGATATTTTATAATAATTGAATCATCTCTTTAAATGAACAAAAAATTTAATATACCTAAACATTGTTGTTATAATCTTCTGTCAGATAGGTCCAATTTGGTACGTAATTTTTTTTTCTGGAGCAGCAAATGGAACCTTTTTTCGAAATCTATAAATTTTAAAAGGATTGATAAATAATTCAGAAATTCAATTGTCTCAGATCCTCCTGTACGCCACTGATGTAGGGAATCCAATATTTGAAAATGATTTTTATTGTTTCGAGCGCCTTCATAACCGAATTCTTAAATTTAATTGTTTATTGTTTACTGAAAGAATATGTGGTTGCTATATTGACCACTGTTTTCTGGGGTAGGTATCCTGTATAGGAAAATGACGTTCATCCTCTCCGAAGATGAAAATAGTTTGCATATTTCTCATAACGATTTCATCTTGTATGCAACTGCCAGCAATAAACAAAACGAAAAAATAATGCATGTGTTGCTTTGGAAGCGACTAAAAACAATTAACTATAATAAGTTGGAGTAAAAGCTCATTTTGAATTAAATTGGACATAAATAATATATGGGCAGAAAAAGTAGTATTTGCTACTGGAAAACTCCATTTTTTTGTTCGTAAACTTACTCCACTCCCCAGATAATGCAGATTGTCAACTTTAAGCAATAAACAACAATTTTCATGTCTTGTTGCAAAATGTACTTATTATTTTGATAAAAATTAAAATATCTAACTAGATACAAAATCACGAATACATTTCTTTTATTATTTAAGGATTTAAAATAATAAACCCTGTCGACAAAGGTTTTTTTAAATACCCTGTATCTTAGTGTATATGTACTGTAAAGTAAATAATTTTGATTGTAGGTATTTGCACAGTAGGTCAAATAATTAATTAATGCACAACAAAATATTAAGATTACATATTTTTATATTACATGCCCCATATACAAATAACAGATGCCAAGTATAATATTCAAAGTTAATGAAAATATGTTTTATGCTGATGCACTTTGAAAAGATTGCTGTACTTATTACCTTGTTTATTAAAATATTTAACTTAATTCAAATACTGACATAACTATGAATAAAAAGTATTTTATACTTAACGATTCAACTAAATTTTGAATATAGTCGGGAGAATCCAGATACCTTCTGCTAATAAAATGGATGATGATCTTTTCACATAAATTAATTTCAATGAACATTACAAAACAAAATTAAACATTTTACCTTTGTCAGTACTGTCAATACTGTCAATAGTTGCATAATTGAACATGATAGCTGCAGTTAATCTTGTCCAAAAAGTGTCTAAACGATTATTATAAGATACTGCACGAAACAGAATTAAATAATTAGATTCAATTTCTGTTGAGACACTATTTTAACTTTATTACAAATAGATTATTAGATATTAGACCTCAGCCAAAAGGTAATTTAACTAGGTACTGATAAATTAAAGAAAAAGAAAATATATATATATATACTGGGGACACCCTGTATATATAATTTTTATTTTTAATATTTTATTATATTTTTATTTAAATATTTATTAGTTTATAACTTAATAAGTTTAACTTAGATTAATTAAGAAACTGACAATTAGTTGAAAAGTAATCAATNTTAACTAAGATTAATTAAGAAACTGACAATTAGTTGAAAAGTAATCAATAATTCGAAGCATGATAGGTATTAGGTATTCAACCGTGTATTCGACATTTTGTCGTGTCCTATAAATGTCTTGATTTCCTTTCAATATATGTGTAATTTACCCGTTCTTGTTCGTTTTCTTTTTTGTCTTACTTTTCTAAAACTATAAGTTATAAAACTCTTCAATGTTAGATATAAAATTAAAATTATTATTTCTTAATTCATATTCATGGTTTATCAAAATATTCCAAATTTCGTCGTGTCGTATAAATGACCGATTTCTATTACGTCATCTTTTATCTGTATGTTGAATTATAATTTATAACCTCTCTTATTGTCATTATTTTAAATCTGATTTCGTTCTACTGTACGCTTTTTAAAAACCGCAATATGTGTATTTTAAAACAATAAGAACACTACTTACTGTGACAATTATTTTTTTGTGGTCTGTAGCACTAGTTATTAGTGCAAAATATTACTTCCTGCATAAAACACATTCTATAACCTATAAACTTCATTATGAACTTTTCTCGAATAAATTACTCGAATGTGGGTGCTAAAACCACTGACCAGTGGAAAATTGCCAACAAAAAGATAAACAACAAAATCAAAGGTACCATATTTGAGAAATGGGTGCAATATTGGAAACAAATCGCCAAGGACTATTCCGAGGTTACAGTGTCACTAAGGCACGAGATGAAGGAAAAACCTCTCAAATCAGTATTTTACATAAGCGGACTTGGGTTATTGGGATGCTTGGCAACACATAATCCAAACTTACAAAGTTTTCGAGCCAGATACATACAATGTGCCAACGACCTTGCATTAGTCAATTCAAGTTTAGCAAACCCCGATTCAGTAGAACATTTGAAGTACATCGATAGGTGTTTCAATGCTAATTTAATACGTTACACGAATTTAGGAATTGCTTCTATAATATGGGTGGATAATTTCAGCAGTGAATGCAATACATATGAAAGTAACTGTTCATATCTAAAGGTGCCATATAGAAAATTTACCGACCACATTTTAGATGTAGGATTTTTAAATGTGTGGTGGGTTATATCACGAAAAATGTTGGACTATGATATTAATTACTAGAATACTTTAATGAAGCCCGATTTATATATTTATTGTTATCAATGTAAATAAAAAAACTTACCTTAAACTCATCTTCTGTATATTTTTCTGTGCTTTTGACAATACTTTTAGGAACAGGACTCATGTCTCTGGCTCCAGAATCCCATTCCCAACGATCCAATTTACCTGGAATAAAAACTTGTAGGTATGTATAAACTGGAGTAATATTTAGGGTGTTAATTACATAAATCAACAAACTTTAAGAGGTGAGTCTTTGAATGATTTTAAGACAAAAACATTATATCAATGTGGGTCCACAAACCAACTGAGATACAGGGTGTATTGACAAAAAAATACGCTTTATAAAATATTCCTTTATATTTCATTCACCATGGTAGTGTAGTCAGTTGAGCAGGCGGTGGCAAGCATTTCTCGGCCAGACTTGCTATTCTGGTCCGGGATCGATCCCTGACATCGGCACTAGCAATGTCGATGAATAATGGGTGTTTGTTCACGTTTTTTCACGTGTAGCCCCCTTCTGCACAGCCTTTGGCTTTGGGCATTGTCTCATTTCTGTGGTGTGTTTTATGTTTATTTTTATATTTATGTTTATGTTTACATGACAAACAAACCATTTTAATTTTATTGCCAAGTTACCAAACACTCTACAAAATGTAAAATGACTCAATGAATTTTTTTGTTAGAAATACCATTTTAAATACAAACTAATAACAAATTCGAAAATATCAGTCGCTTAGAAATTTTGCATTAGAGGTACTTACAAGGGGTGTGGGCCAAAAAAATTGAGCCAATTATCTCAGTTAGAAAAAAATCCTATGAACTCTCTGTGAAACAAGTATTTCTAGAGTTATGTGATGTTTAATGATATTGGTAGCATTAACGTAAATTAAAACAATTAGGTAATAAATCGAAAATAGTTTGTTTTCCAAATAAAATGAAGAACATATTTTTCCTTGGAAGCATCAGGAGTTAGAAGAATCAACAGAATTTTCATTATATTCAGTGGTGAATTTCTGAGGTTTTTAGTGAAAGTAAATCTTGGTATCTACTCCACTGGGACACATATTTATATCCAAATACATTGGACTTTTCATCATTCTACATCAAAAGTCTTCAAAGACAATTTAGAAGGGGAATTTTTTCTTAACTTCAGTATCCTGTATCTTAAAAGCTATTGATTTAAGGACTCATATTTATATAACATTTTTGATTTAAAATAACTTAAAGAATCACCCCTTACAGTTTGTAAATGTACTTAATTAACACCCTATATAATTATGACAGTAAAATTACTTTATAATCTCATAATTACCCTAGTGACATTTACATTACCTATATAAAAGGTTTCAACGGATTGTTGAAGATATTAATAAAGTTTCCGAGAAAGTTATAATTTAATTTTCAGTGATCTTATGGTGATAATAATCAGATGAATGTATTGTTACTCTAGTATTTTAAATGTTATAAAGGTATGTTTTGCTATTTGTCATATTGTAGTAGGTGTGAGGTAATATAATTAAATTAGTAATAATTTATTGAAATGTAGTGAAACTTATTAAAGATGAAAATACAGAAAAGAAAATTATAACATCGTACGTATTATACAGGATATCAGGAAACGAATGGGCCATACCTCAAGGGTAGTTTTCTTAGATTAAAATAAACTTGTTCTATAAAATATTATATATTTTCTTCTGCCGTATTCTTTTTGTTGGTAAAAATGTTAAAAAACGCAAGTTTTATAAAACCACACTATGTAAAAATGATCAACTTATTGTATGTCGCTTAAAAGCATTTTTTCATAGAAAAATAATTCCAGTTTTTTACAGTTATCAGTTGTGGAGAGCCAAGTATTTCTGGACATTCTAATCTATTAAACACAGTAAACTTCTGTGAAGTTTGTACCATTGTTAAACTTTTTTGCAAGCTATACCACTTTACTTTTGTTCGAAAGTCAACACCAAATGAGATAGACCTCTAAATCATAAAAAATGTTTAAAATCTAGAAAAAAATTAAGTTTAATTTAAGTAGAATGTCTAAATATTGTTCACAACTCACAGATCTAGATCTGAAATTTTTTTCTGGGACAATGCATTTTAGTGACATGCAAGAGTTATACCTTTTTTAAAGAATATAAATAGACTTCATAAAAACACCATCATTTTCTGAAAATTTCTATCAAAAAAGAAAATCTTAAAATGACACCAAAAGACTATTTCTTGGTTTTTACATTTTTAACAACTTCTATGTGTTACATAAAAAATAAAATAATGTTCAACTTTGGTTACTCTAAGAATACTGCTTATACCAAGTTTAAGTAAAACATCTTAAACAGTGGTCGAGTTATAACAAAATAACCTAACTTAATCTAAATTTGTTTATTTGAATTTTTTATTTTCACCGTTGAATTATAGTCCATTCGTTTTCGGAATCCCTGTAAATGAAATATTGTGAACATCAAAATATGATGGTCATTGGTCACATTTATATGAATAATATTTTAATCTATATTCTTACAATCCTTTCTTATGGGTTAGATAATGTACAAATTTGCTTCTTTTTCAATAAAACAAATTACAAAAGGAAAAAGAGTAAAATTATGGTTAAAGAACAGCAAGTTGTCTGAACAAAATATTAAATAACCTGACATTGTGGGAACCAACTACTCTATGGGCTAGATATTGTTCGCAAGCTTATTGCTTCCTGTTCCCGCAATATCATGAGCTAAGATTCTTGTCTATAAGATTACATATCTTTTGCATACTGATTTTTAGTATGGAATATTGTTTGACCTCATTTGATTGGGTGTTTGGGAAAATATTTTTGAATTTATTTGAATTAGCTTAATATTTAAAAAAAAAGTAATAAAAATAATATTTCTTCAAAATGTTAAAACAGACCGTATTATTTTAATTTAACCTCATGAAATACAATTTTATTTCATTACCTTGTTTAGCAATAGAAACAGTCATAGATAAGTGATAGTTGTACTATAAATTTTCTTTGTATAATAAAATATTTAAAGCTCGATTTAAACATCTAAATACTAGAACTGTTACATGTTTTAATTCAACAGTGAATGAATGCATATTTAACAGTAGATGAATGCATATTAGTTTCTATGATAAAAGTACCAGACATTTTATTAAATCAATATCATTTAATTGTTTACCTTGGCTGTTATCACTGATATTGTCCTTGTTCGAGCTTTTTAAAGCATCAATTTCAGGTCGTAATGCTAATCTTCTTTGTAAAAATTGCTCATAGGATATTCTGCCTTGAGAATCAGCACCAAGTTGTAACATCAACTCATCTAGAGAATCTTCCAGACTCAGTTCTCGGCAGATAGCAAGCAGATCTTGACTGTAAAATATCAATGTTACTAAAGACTGACTAAAAGCGATTAACTGATTACCTATCAATGTACCCATCTCCATTGCCATCACATGCTTGAAAAAGCCTCCTCACTCGTTCTTCATCACCTACAGAGCTAGCACTTTCACTTGCACAGTCCGTATCAGCCATAACCCAACTTTAAATAGCAATATTATCAATTTATATTTTATATAATGCCATTTAAATAACTATTTTTTTATTTCCGCGATAAATAATTTAGAGTCTAATTCATACACACTGACATCATTTAGTAAAACGAAATCTTTAGTTGATGTTTATATTTTTTGTAAACAAAACAGAACAATGTTAACAAACGTCAAAATGTCAAATTCATGTTAATGAGGTTATTTTAGTTTATTTATGACTACTGTGCCATCTACTGTCTGGAAACCATACCAACTTAAATATTTTCTACCTTTTTATTGGTTTGGTTCAATGATCGCATTCTATTGAATAAAAAATTTATATTTCTTGACTGCGACATGTATATTATTGCAAGCAACAATGAAAGACTGTCGAGATCGAGATTTCTGCTTTTGCCTCGTCCACTTTTTGAAATACCTGGGTATGTATGTACGTATTAACAAGCAGTAAGTATGTATGTACACACACATGAATATTATATAATCACTACAGCTTCATTATTTTTTTTAGAAGAAACTGCTCAAATTTGAAAGAAGAAACATTTCTTACATTCAATGTTTCTTCTAGAACGACTTTATAAAAATATAAAAATGATATGGTGACCTTACTAGAGGACATGTGTAAATTGCGTTGCCTATCAGACTGCGACGGCATACATTTAGTTAGAGTTTCGCTGTTACGAAAAGCTAATACCTAATATAAAGAGCATGATTCTCGAGAAAAATTGAATGGCTGAGAAAAATCCATATTTTCAATTAACTTGATTTAAACGGAACATATTATGTAGGTCCTATACCTATATTTCTCTATTTTTGATGGCTACGTAAAATTTCAATGAATAAACGCTAAAAATTATTATTTTGTTATTAAACATTCATACATAAATCGGCCATGGATAAATTTATGTAATGGTGAAAAAATGGATGGTATGCCAGATAGTATTTTAAGTGTTTACCTATAGGAAATTTTAATGTAGACATAATCGATAGATTTGCAAGAAAATTTATTGTATTATAACTGAAAAACCTAAATTTATAAAAAATATCGCGTGTCATTGGAATCTGTAAAAAAAACTTCAAAGAGTTTCTTTACAAACATTAATAAAATATTTTCTCAATCAAAAAACTTATAAGGCATTATAGAAAACCCTCAAAATTGAAAAACGGCATGCATTTTTTATCAAATCAAAATATCAAGATGTAGTTGAATCACCACCAGACGTGGTACTAAAAAAATAAAGATACAAATACTACCTCTATTTTTAAAATTGATGAGACATTTTTTACGAATCGAGCAGCACAAAACGGATCTTTTATTTTTTTTTTGTGAAGAAATAGACACATTTATTTAGTGTATATTAATAAATTAAAATTATTTCCTGTACTGAGTATTTCATATTATATTGATATCTTTACCCAACCAAAAAAATATGTTTATACCTATATGACAAAGAAAATCTCCTTGAATAAACTAAACGCTTGTTTTTTTAATTTCGACTTTTGCTAACAAAATCTAAAATACTTGCCCGATTTAAATTGAATATAGTATGTAGTACTTGTGGATAGATGTCACTTTTTGACATAGTATCTGAAGTAATTGCTTTTACAAAAATAGGGAAAATACCCCCACTAAATGTTAGAGTTGTCCTTACACATTCAATACTTAATGCATCATAAAGGCAGACTTTTTCCAAAGTTTGTCTCTCTTGTACATATTTTACATTTCTAATGATTTTTCCGTATTTAATCATTTTATTGCATATGCATACTAGTGTACCAAATCACGTTCCTCCTCCAAATTTTCGCCGATCCTCCCCCCCCCCCACTGAATTATATATCTGGTTTCCCCCAGCGTGATTGAACATTTTAGGTTTCCCAAATTCTCATTTTTTAACGTAACCTTTATGTTCGTTTTTGGGGCAATTATTATTAATTTCAAGTAATGTTTTTGTCGAAGAAAACAGTGTTAATAATTTAAATAACAAGCCCAAATTTGGAGATGGAGATATTATGTAGCCGATATTTTTGTAATTTGGCCTTTTATGTGTAGTAGACTGTAAAACCTGTAAATCTTTGGATTTTAGGTAGAAACAAAAATTTATTAAGCAAGTTATAAAAGCGAAAATACTTTTATAAATGATTATGCTTATTATTATTGCATCAGCGACGCTGAATCAGCACGTTGAAATGTCCAATGGTCAATATAAATTGACACAAATTAAATAACGTACTTTTCGTAAATGATTGATGTAAATTAGTAGCCGATACAAATATGAAATCACGTTTTAAAATTAAATGGAAAATCAAAATATTGCTAGTTTGAAGAGAATAACAATTTTTGATAAGGTTTGTGAATTATATTTTTATACCTTTTCAATTTTGAATATTAATTATTTTTAGCTTTGAGAAGACAAACCTAATTTTAACTTTGAGAAGACCTAAACAAATCAATGTTTCCAAATCAGATAACTTTTATTTTGAAGCATTTGATTTAATTTTTTGATTAAAAATGTGCATGACAATTTTCTGCAGAATTTTACGGAAAAATGTAGTATTTATATTTCTTTTACTTTTAATTTTATTATTGTTTATATTGTAGTTAAACTCGTAAGTATATCTAAGTATTAAATTATATTTAGAACCAGAATATACAGTGACAGAAATTCATATGGTAAAAAAATATTTATTATGTTATGTTAAACTTGATTAACGAATCGAAACCAGAGTTGCCAACCGTTATGAATTTCAGTGGGCGTCCACCATTTGAGCCAACTTTTCATAGATTGACATGACTTCTTGCAGGACGCCAAATGTCCTTAATTATACACACCTTTGGATATATTTTTAAATAAACAGTAATTTTCTTCAACCCGGCAATCGCATCCTGAAAAAATAGCCTGATTCGTAATCTTGCATAGATCACGTTTGAAATAATAAAGTATTTCGCATTATATGCATTATACTATATAACTAGAACCTTTTTGTATTCTTGTTTAGTTTATGTTAAGTACACTTTGATCTTTATCTTAGCTTTGTTCCTAGAGTAATCCAAAACAGTTTCCAACAGACAGACGCATTCCTATATAATGCCTTACAAAGGGTCTCAGAAATCATGTAGGAAATAATCTTGATGCAAAAAAATTTGTAATTTTTTTAACCATTAATAAAGTATACAGTAAGTATTTAATAACATATCGGGTAAATGGCCTCCATAGCTTTATTGGCACATACGCAATCTTTTGTCGAAATTTTCCATGACTGGTTTGCATAAATGTGGCTGAATTTAGTTAGCGCTCAATTTCCTCCTTCAAGGCGTGGATGGTCGTGGGTTTGTTGTCATAAACCTTAGGCTTCAAAAAACCCCAAAGAAAAAAGTCCTACGGCATTAAATCTCATGATCGGAACGGTTAATTCTGATTACTAAAACGGGAAATTACACGACCAGGAAATAGCTACCCGGATTGTATGGCATGTGGCACCATCTTGTTGAAACCACATGTTGTCTACATCCACATCTTGCAATTTCGGCACAAAAAGACTGGATTATCATGTCGCGATAACGAGCACCACTGATTGTTATTATTGTCTGACCAGGCGCATTTTCGAAGATGAATGGTCCAATGATACCGCCAGCTCAAAATCCGCACCAAACAAAAACACGTTGTGGATACATTTTTTTCTCAACAATCACTCGTTGATTTTACGAACCCCAAATGCGACAATTTTGTCGATTAACGAATCCATCAAGATGAAAATGTGTCTCATTGCTGTTGATGATTTTGTTCGAAAAATCAGCATCCGCGCCATTATTCCATGGCTAGAAATTGGCCTCAATGATTTGGGATCGAGGGGGATTATCCCTCTTTATCCTGCCTCATCTCGTGTAGGCCTGGACAGCCTTCGTAGGTGGGCCCCATCCGTCGTCTACCCCGACCGCAAATGCGGCCGGTGTAGGCGCTTTGTGGGACCTCCTTTTGTCCTGGCTGGGCCCCGCCGGCTAGGGCCCTTTCTTCTGGCGCTCTTCTTGCTTCGCCGGCTCGTCTGTGTAAACCCCGGGGGTGGTATCATATTTATGTGTGGTATGGTTGGGTAGGGCAGTGCGGCTATGCAGCCTGGGATGCGCTTTGCTAAGGTGGCCCTTAGGCTAGCGCAGGAGGGGAGGGGTAAGGAGGGTATGGGGGTGTGTATGTGTGTGTGTGTGTGTCGTTGTCTTCGTTTCTTGATCCTGGCTGTCTCTGAAACAGAAAAGGTTAGCGGGCAGGGGAGTATCAGCATCCACTTGTTCCATAATCCATTCAACAAATTATCTGAGTGGCAGCAGGCTCCAGTTCTTGAATCAATTGAACTTTATAATTTTTTCCAGTTTATTATTATTCCGTGGTAGATAAGATAAGAACAACGAAAAAATTGAATTTTCTTTGCATTCGTGTTTTTTTTACAAAAAATATAGTTTTGATCGTTTCATAAGAGAAAAATCTTGTTCTACATTTTTTGCACTTTTTCTGAATGATTAGCTGTTTTGCACTGAAACTAAGAAGTTAAAAGTTGGCAACCCTAAATGGGAATCCGTTGTAATATTTACGCATTAAAAAAAATAATAATAACACCGTTTTATCAGTTTAGTAGGGTGCCGAAGAAAAACGTTTAGGGGTTGTGGGAAGGGGGCTAATTCAAATTGGTGACAGTGGTTCTGTATATTTATTAAATTAATTTTTAGTCTTTCGTGGCAGTTGAACAATTTGTGGGTAGTTTTATACTTCATTTATCTATTTACCAAATTTTTAGTGCTGTTTTTTCTTAATTGGTCCATTTGTCAAACTCAAACTAGTATTTTTACGTAAAAATATTTAGAGAAACTAAAGGTATACGTCTAAAATAATTATTACGCAAGTGGAATAAACGAGGTAAAAGAAATATTAATCCTCCTTCTTCATATTTACTCCTCCACATTATCCACATTATGCAGTTGTTTATGTAAAATATAGGCACCAAAATTGATTTAAATCGGCGTATGCTTGCCAAACATAAATAGAAGCAAAATTACTGAAAATAGTGCGATATAAAAATGGTTAATATAAAAAATACGTTTTTTTCAGTATCTTCACAATCATATCTATTCACTATCTTTGTATCTATAATTTGGAATTTATTGTTGAAGTAGTTTTAATTTTTAATTTCGAAAACTCAAAAAGAACTAAAAGCTCGAGCCTGATAATACTACTTTAGTGAGCAATATTAAATAAATAAAATGATACAATAAAGAGTTAACTTTTATTAAATACTTTAAAGTAAATAATACAAAAAATAAAACAATTTGTTTGATATTTTATACAAATATGAGAATTAAAACTAATGCAAAATTACAGCTTATGGTAACAAATTACAAACTACCTAAGAATGATTATTTCAATCACCCTTATTTTTCTTCTTAGGAGATTCATCGTCTGTACTGTCACTGGATGATTTCCTCTTGCTACTCCTTTTTTCTTTGCTGTCTTCGTCTTTCTCATCACTGTGCTTCCTCTCTTCCTTCCTTTTCTTCCCTTCCTTCCCATTTTCCTCCTCTCCCACCATTTCAATGTCACTGTCAGATTTCTTTCCCGTCCCCAATTTCTCCTCATATAGAGAAACATTCTTTTTAATTTTACTTGCGTCAGGACTGTATGCCCAAAGAATGATTTCCATATGTTCTTTTGTTGGTAAGTCGTCTTTCCATAATTCAGGTTTGTTTTCTTCCAGCTGTTTCAGTAACTTTTTTAGTTCAGTGTTTCTTACAATATCCCAAGTGGGTTCATCCTCCCCGCTTGCTACGGTCCTTAAATTTTTGTAATCAGCATTTGCTTTTTTGTATGCCTCCAGGAAACTGTCCACTTTTTTATCTTCTATGTCGAATCGCTCTTTTAAAGGGAGCAACGCTTCTATCGAGATTAGTGGTAAGTAGGCGCGGTTTTCTTTTGACAAATTGTTTAACTCGAAATTTCTCAACCATTCCTCAAAAACGGCCATAGCATCGTTTATATTCTGCAGCTTGTCTTTGTCCTTTGTCACTGCAACAAAAATAATTCTTGTAATATTTATTTCAATATGAAGGAACATTTTTTTTTTTGTTCTAATTTAGTAGTATCTTCTTTTATAAAAATATTTATGATTTGATGATTTAAGATACAGAATGTCAAAATTTTCAAAAAATAGGTGTAAGAGATTTTAATATCTTATTTCTGAACAAATAAAGATATTGAAATTTTGTGCATACCTATATGAATAATAATTACATTCAAAATGGAAAAAAATATAAGGTAATTATGAAAATTCCAAATAATCATTGGCATAGGAAATTTATATTTCCTGAGGTTAACCCCTTAAAAAATTTTAAATTGCCATATCCATGACATTTTATTAGCTTCTGACTTTGTATTTAAGATTAATTTTGTAACAAAAATCTATATATTTTCTTGAAACGACTAGTTATTTTCGATTTATGCAACTATGGCAAAAGCTTATTTTAAAATGAAAATATAATAGATGCACGGATCATCCTAGCACCTCCACCATTGGTTTATAGATTTGTATATCAAAAAAGTTAGCCCACAATTAATTAAATTGTTAATCCAAGCTTATCTGTATCTCAAAAACAAGCATAAATGACCTATGTTTACATGATTTTGAAGTGTTCTGTCACCAGGTAAAGGTTGGCGTGTGCAGTTCAGGACATCCTGTATAAATATAGCAACCAACTATTCTTTTAAAAGTAGCTAAATCGGTTCTAAGAAGTTCATTGTTATAGTTGCATCACTTTATATTTACCAACATTACCAGGTTAAAAGGTTAAAACTCAGTTATTACGAATTTATACTAAATAATATACATTTTAAAAATATTTGACTGTCGGTTTGGTATTCAAAAATAATTAAATGAAACAATTTTGTAAAATAATGTTTTATGTACTACGTTGAATAAACAAATTTGACAAAAGGCGGGAAAATATTTAGAAACATCTTGACTGCTCTGGTATTTATATGAATACAAAATTATTGTTGAATAATTTCAAAATGATAAACAAATTTCATGGTTATTAGTTTCTTAAGCCGCCTAATCTCCGCCACTGCCTATGTCAACATGAATATGTTGATGTTGATAGTGAAACGGTTACATTTAACCTTGGATTTTAGCGGCCGATTTCAATAACTATGGAAGTAAGCAACATCTCATTAAATCCTGATTTACAATTTTGTTTTGATAATACAGCCTCGTCGGTTTGAGTGCCAAAACAAAATTAAATATCCATACCGGTATTTTTAAATTAAAATTAAAAATAGAATCACGTACGGACGGAATTTCTAATGCATGAGTATGTGCTACTTACGTGTTAGGGTCCGTTTGGCTCTGCCGATCAGCCCTTTGATAGCTAACTTCTGGTAGTCGGGGTCCCTCCCTTCTAAATTTTTAATAGTTTCCAAAGCCTTCTCCTTGTCTTTGAATCCTAGACCGGGAACGGTATCAGCTTTTGGTTCAGACATCGCTACCTGAAAAATCAATGTAACAAAACGTATTATTATAAATATAACCACACTGCGAATAGTTACTAACTTGTAATTTCCCTGCGGAGTTAGATAGGTAGGTATATAAAAGCGAAGTTATAACTTGGAACAGCAACAGCTAACTGAGGCGGTTTCCTGGTCGATTAAACGCAGAATTTAGAAATTCGGTGTTTGTATTCGCGTAGTCCTGCGCCTGTTAAGGACGAGTGGCACATAGAAACAACTAATTTTGTTAGAGAGAAGGGAAGGTCAAACGGTAACCGCTCTTGCGAGCGTGTGGTTGCAAGATGACAAAACATCTAAACTGGGTAATTACGTCATGTCAGGCAATAATATACTTTCTTGACATTGCTATTGTGATGAATAATTATTAATTATAAATATTGTCCACTGGACGTTTCAGTAGAATATTTAAAACGTTCGAATAGAAGTAAAATTGGTTTTGAGTTTGTGTTTCGCGGAGCATTTGAATGATGTCAGGTTTGACACTATTTGCCTAGTTTCAGCCAATCCAGTTCGTTCTGGTGTAATCTGTGTAGTGGAAAATTATAAGTACCTAATTTAAGAATGTGAGATGGCAACACTGCAATGTTTTTATTCGATAGGAGTTAAAAATAAATTCAAAACGATGATAAACGCAGTTCAAAGTGGAAAATATTTTTCCTTCCCATAACTCAATTTTTATAACATTTGTGATAACATTTGCCTAAATTACTTTATATTCAATATATTTAATAAAATTTGTTTGGTACTTTCCTGTAAGTATACACTTTTTATATTTCCTCACATTTTTATGCCATTCTGAAAAATTAATTATTGGTTAAAATATAATTTCCACTCATTTCCTTTTACTGGCTAGAAAATATAATAATTGGTAACTGAAATTTTCCCTTTTCTTAGCTTTAGGATACCTGTTTACAATTATTGAATGTTGAATACACATAGTAATTTGAATAGGTGTCATAATTTGTATTTTTCTCATTTATAAATCGATCTTTTCCACTAAATTCTTCACCACTTGTATAATATTTATTTATGAAGATAAAACTGAATAAAAAATATTGCATAAGCTTATTCGATTAAAAATTTATTTATTTTTAAGTATAATTTCTGTCGAATACCTACTATTTATTTTACTAATACAGTTTTTATTTCTTTTAATTTGGCTCGTAAAATTTGTTATACACAACAATCTGACAATCAGTTCATAGGTATTTGCTAATCATTTAAATACCTATGGTTTAGGCAGATTTAGGGGCTTACCTAATTGTTAATTTGTGTGATAAGTGCGTGATAAGATGATATTAATAAAAAGGCGTATAACAATAATCAAAACTATTTAATATTCTTATTTTTTTAATCTGTGTTTATATTATGAAGTGCTAAGTATAAATATATTATAACAAGCACCATATGAATAATTAATTTACGAAACTAACAAAAATTAATTAGACATTTGTTCTTGTATCAGCTATTTAAAATGTTTTTTTTGCAATCAAACTTAGCTTGTAATTATCAGAAAAAGTATCGAGGGCGCTACTGGAATAATTCTATATTTGGGTCACACTTCGAGCCTCGCCTCGCAAATGGTCTGAATGACAGACAAAGATGAAGCATATTTGTGTGAAATAGGAAATGATAAAAATGCTGAAACGCATACCTCTTGTAAATTTCCAGTTTTGTTTTTGCAATTATCTTCAAGATTACATAACTTGACGATTTTGAATTTCATTTAATTTGGTATAACCTAATTGTGATTAAATAACTTATTTATGTTATCCACCTCAGCAAATTCAAATGAAAACATCAATTCAGTAACCTATTAAATTCTAGATTTACAATTTAAATGACCTTTACCCCTTATATTTTAATTATTAATTTGCAGACCAAACAGGAAGTACAATGTAAAGGTAACATGATAAATCAAATTAAATGATTTGAATTTCAAAGCGAGCTATCGTTTTAAAATGTATTGTAGGTACCAAATTAATAATGATACACCTTTAACGCAGAGACGTATTTTGCAAGGCGCAGGAAATTTTGTGAATTAAATCTTCTGTAAGCTCCAATTATTAGAAAAATAAATATAGGCACTTCGGACCGGAAGGAGTTGGGCTGATGTACCGAACTGAACTGTGGATGGTAAAAAGTATATTAGCTAAAAATAAAACAATGTCATTGTAGTGATGACGTTCCGGGTTTTATAATGTCTATGTAAGTGTTATGGTCGAGAGTCGAGAGCCACTAGCATAAGAGGTGTTTTCTAAGTTCGTGTCATGTCTTCAAGAGGTTGATCTTTGAATCATTTTGGCTAAATGCCAATATCACACTAGGATGCGAAATGGAAAGCCACGGCAGCGCAACCAGCAGCGCAGCCAGTCAAGATATATTTATTTATTAAATTTAAATTTAATTAAACATATTTTTATTTAGTGCGCAGCTGGTTACGTTGTCGTGGATACTCAATTGGCATTCTAGTGTCATAGGTATTGATTAAAATAAAGAGTCCGAAGTGAGGTCTAAATCCACTGATTTTCAAGATATAGAGTGTTGAAGGTAAAATAAAAATAATTTAACCAAATAATGGAACTCCGGAATGATTCATTGAATTGAAAACGAGTCAGTTAGTGACGGAGTTTCTAGAGACACTCTCATTGAAGACGAAAATGAATATTTTGAAAATTGTATAAATGCACCCAATTCATTACTTTTATTGAAAAAACGAGTAATTCTTTAGATATCCACTAAGTATTTTTTAATTTAAAATAAGCTTAAAGGTTGGGTGAGCTTAAAGGGCGGGTGAATAAATTAAATAAAATAGAGCGGCGTAGAAAACATTCTAATGCGTATAATAAATGTATAATTTGAAACAAAATCCGTAGTCTTTATTAAAGAAAAATTAAAGGTCAGTTGCTGCAGCGTTCGAATTTAAAAAAAATGTTTGAATATATTAATTGTTTTTCAGATTTTTTAGAAAACTCTAAACTGTGACAAAAAATCAACATATAGATCTAAGAGTAATACAATGTCGACGTTAGTTGTTGTACTTATAATAACATCCTAATAATAATGTAGAAAGCTATTTTTGGGGCATTACTATCCATTTTGCTGCGATTTTACAGGATATTTTTCTGTTTCGCTCACAAGTTATTAATGTCTACAAAACCAAATTCATTCAAGCTCTAAGGGTGGGATGTCAGATGGCAAAGGAATTGAGTGGGGAACGGGGCCTACATCGGTTACCTACTATCTCTATGTTTATCTCATTCTACATCTCTACATTTCTTTTTGATCTGCTTATTCCAGGGCTCAAGTTAAATTTTTGAATCAGCATAATGTCTGTATAATAAAGTTAAAATTGATTGTAATATTGGAAAAATGTCCCTAAATTTTGTAGTTGCGTTTTCTAAAAATCGATTCTAGCACCTAATTGACCTTGCAGCATCTTGAAAAGTACATGATATATGTTTAATAATTTGTGGTCGTTGCGCATTGGTTAACAGCCCAGAAATTTTGCATAGATGACGATCGCAATCTGCCTGTATCAAAAATAAGTTCCCTGAAGAATGTGCCAACAATAATACCCTCTTGGTTAATTAAACTCGGTAAAATTAACAGTTTAGGAAATATTTGTGATTTTATGTCACAGTGCACATCGAGCGGCGCCTCCACCATTTTTTGTTTTTAAATTTTAATCGCACTCAATTATACATATTTTTAAATTAAGGGCCAAGAAAAGCTCACTCTCTGCTAATATAATTTTAATTAAGAATATTTCACAAACACACTTTACCATAACACAAAATAGAAAAACAAAACAAGAATAAGTTAACGTTACAAAATTATTTAAAAGAAAGAAAATTATCAAAATACATTTTCAATATGGACATCTTCCACCTCCGCATACATCCTAGGGCTACGAATGTTGTTTGTTTGTACACGAAAAAAGGTAATAATTTAATAGGTCCATACGTTTTCGAGGAATGTCTGAATGGACATCGATATTTGGAGTTTTTCAATATTGATGTACGAAATTATTTATCCATTATGTTATGTTGGTAATAAATGAATTGGGAGAGGCGGCCCATTTCCATGGCTACCACGTTCTCCAGACTTTAACCCGATGGACCTCTTACGTCGGGAAGTTTAGTGTACGCAACCCCAGCACAGGCAAGGGATGAATTGCTACAAAGAATTAATTTCCATTATGATAATATTAGACATACCTCAGATATGCTTTTTGTGTACAGACAATAAAATTCGTAGACTTGGGAAGTGTGTGGAGGTGGAAAGTGCCCTTATTGAAAATGTATTTTAATGGTTTTCTACCTTCTAAATTATTTTCTTAACTTACTTTAACTTATTATTGTTTTGTTTTTCTATTTTATGTTATGTCAAATTTTATTAGTGAAAATTACATTAGCAGACAGAAAATATTTACGTAATTAAGTGCAATTAAAAATTAAAAACAAAAAATGGTGGAGGCGCCGCTCGATGTGCATTGTGACATAAAATCGCAAATATTTCCTAAACTGTTAATTTTACCGAGTTGAACCAAGGGGGTATTATCGTTGGCAAATTCTTCACAGAACTTATTTTTGATACAGGCAGATTGCGATCGTCATCTATGCAAAAATTCTGGGTTGTTAACCATTGGGCATAGTCCGTTCCTGGCGTTCTGGGCATAATGAAGTTTCACTTATAACATCAAAAAAAAGCTGTACGCATGTGTTATCGATCACCAAATTTGCATCATGCTGAAGTTAATGGTTTAGAGACTGTAAATAAAAATAACTTTTTAATTTTCACCTTTGAGAAAGAAAGAAATAAAGAAATTTTACTTACTTATTTTAGAAGTTTATGTTTAAATACATTTAAAGAGACACAATTTTTAATATTACTTGGCAAGGAGTTAAATTCTTTGAAACCTTTATAGAAAATAGTTTTTTGCGCGGATGCTCTTTTTGCATGATTCAAATATAAGCAATTTGCATTTCTTATATCATAATTGTGTATTTCTCTAACATATTTTATAAATGGCTCGAAATAAGAAGGTAATTGATGATTGATTATTTTGTAAATAAAAACTAATGCTAAATATTTCAAACGTAGTTCTACAAACGTCTATTCCAACACGTTAAGCATTAAATACATATATGGGAGTACTTAGTACTTCTATTGCATCGTAATATAATTA